GGCTAAAGCAGCTTAAATAAGGCGCCATGAATGATATTTGCCAATTGGATGCTTGAGGGAATCAGCTGAGCTGTCAGCTGACCGTGTTTCCAATAGGAAGCTTAGGAGAAATCAGCTGAGCCATCAGCTGATTTTGAAACATGAAACGTGTGTTTATAATTAGCTGTGATCATATGATATATCTAGAATTGAGAGCTGAGTCAGACTTTGTGGCCTGCCTGAACTAACACTATGCTTAATATTTCATTGTACTTTAAACTGTTTACAGTTAATATATTGTTCCATTTGAAGTTTAAATTAGCCTTAAATGTTGTCGACCTTAATTTTATGCTTCTATTTATCGGTTCAGGCACTGTTTAAGATCCAGTCCAGTTTTAAAAATATAGTTTTACGTTCGGTATCTGGAAAAACCCAAACAATACCCAACTCAGTCTGATTCAGGAAGTTATTATACAGTCTAAAGTTATGGAACAAAACACCTATCTCAGAATGTTCAGCTCGTGGTTTAACCATAAGATCATGACCCAACAACCCCTCCACCCTAATCAAACTCAGCCTTTTGGTGCTTAATTCTATTTTTTTCTTTTTTGTTTGTTTTGTTTTTTGGACAGTCATCTCAATTGAATCTCATATTTATACCAGGTGTAAATGCAGTCAGGTTAAAATCATATCTGGATATGTCTAGATCAGTGTACACTCTTTTTTTCTCAGTATTCTAACCCTACCTCCCTCAGTTAATCAGCATCTTTCTACATACTGTCCGGTGTCACAGATTATTGGCCACCAGCTGTTTGGTCATGTATGTTCAGACTGTTTAATCCATCTCAGTCGGTCCATTGTTCTGCTGCTGCTCATTTCTTTCTGTCTGATCGCAAGTTTTTTAATGTGCCCGCTGAGACCCCACCGACGAATCAAATCAATTTGACCTGCCTTTGTCTCTTAAGCTTTGTAATCCAGGATTTCAACTCAATCAAGTCACAGTGGGGAAAGGAAAAAGGACTTAACGTGGCTTTTCAGTACGACCTGACCCTGACTGACAGGACCTGTGTGGTGTTTAATACCCATCATGCTCCGTTTGAGCTTAAAGTCAGCACCTGATTATCAAACATCAGCTGCCACCTGTGACCTTGTGGAGAAACGTCTTCCTCGGCTCGTCCTGGAAAGAAAAGCACACATCTCACAAAGTGAAAATGCATCAGTTACAGACATCTGTTAGTTTTCACCATCTGTTGTCATTTCTCAGATCTGCAGATTGTTTGGATGTTGATGAATCTTGGGAGATTTTCGTTCTTTCTCACCGGTCAGATCTCCCTCCGTCTCGTTCTCATCGCCGTCCTTTAATCCTGCCATCTGTGTGTTCTATTGTTTGGGAATTGATGTTATGTAAAATAGTGCTCACTGCTGGTTGGAGGTGATTTTTAGATTGGAGGTTATCCTGATTCAGTTTTAGCACAATCTGTTGTTCTACAGCTGAATCTACAGTGCGATGGCTTTCCTTCGATTCTTGAGCCAATACGCTTGAGGCTGCAGTTGGTTTGACATTTTAACCTCACGCTGCTCTCTCTCAGTCTTCGTCGGTTTCGTCTTCGCTACGATGTCACAGTCTGTCCTTGTCCTCCCCCTCTTCCTTCCTCCTGCCTGTT